TAGAGGGAAGGCAGCTAGTTATCACCACCCACCGCCAACTCTTGGGCTACTCTTTTACCAACGAATAGTGGCTGTAACATTATAACGCTCCTGCGGCTGAAAGGGCGAGCATGTTTGGTGGGACGGGGATTCGAATCCGCAACCCTCAGATTGCGAGTTGAGTGCCCTAACCACAATTAAAGTACTGAACCTTATTGAATTATGTTACATATATTTCAAAATGCTTGATATATAATTTAACAATACGTTAACAAATAATTTATTTGTGCAATACAAAATCACGAAAAATTATATCAATCGGAATTTTAATGATGTTTTTATTATTATTTTATCTTATAACATGAAATTGATTGTTTCATTTGAAATACCATACTTTTAATGAAATATTTTTGAACAGTCAAACTTTTATTAGCCACGGATAGAGAAAGGCGTTTATGACTGCCAAATATAACAGTATTATATTCATTTGAGAATACTAACGCAGATCAAAAAGAACTTAGATTTCGGATTGTAATACAAAATATACTTGCTTGTATTGAATATTAAATATTATACCATAACCAGCTGAGAACTATAGTTTCGATCTATGACAGCTTTCATCAGCTGCAAAATAGACCCAGTGGGCTCAAAACTAGCCCTCATATGGTTATGGTATAGTATTTGTTATCCAGTATGGACAAATATATTTCATGTGACAATCCGCATCAACAAGAAAAGGAAAAAAATCTGAGTGCTGTTCCTAATTGGAAAGCTAAGTAGTTTTAAAGACTTTGTCGATTTGCAGGAGTAAAAACCTGTACACATAGGTGTAATCCAGAACTAGCTGCTTTCACACAAATTAGACATATAAAGAGCTTTAGTTAAATTAGTTATCATCGACCTGAGTGAAATGTTAAGAGCTGATAAGATTCGAAACTATAATAGTCAGGTGGTCACCGTATGTTATTTGTTATTCGATATGTCCAAATACGTTTCATAATATACTCCTTATAACAACAAAAGCAAGAAAACTCGATTGCTAACTCTAACCAATCTCTCGATTACTTCAAAAAAAGATTCAATCCGAAAAATTAAAAAGTTGTTTATATAGATAAAACCCGTACCAGAATTTGATATCATTTTCTCTTTCAAATTCCATTGAAAGTTATACATTTGCTAAATATTATGTTTGTCATTTAAAACTTGGTATTTCTCATATTTCATGTAAGCCTTTTTAGGCTTTAGAATAAAGCTACACGATGGCTTATCTGTGTTGTGGCCACCACGGGTATGGAAACGCGGTTTTTAGCATTACAAGCTGCGAGACATAACGCTGAGCCACAGGGAGGAGGAGGGGGGATAATTTCTTAATACACTTTTAGCAAAAAATGCACAACGCCGAGTCATTTATCAGTCATTAATTTAATTAAAGAAATGACCCCAGAAAATAATGAAATATTAAACTATAAGGAAATCGAACATTTTCGGAAAGTAATCTCAAGAATGAAAGCTTAAGTTCTTTTCCGTTTGGTTCCCACCAACAGTAATAAGCGTCAATGTGGAACTTATCGCCAAATGCTTGACTCTTATCTTTGTGAATTTATATGGAGAAATATAAACAAAGATGAAGATTTATTCAAAAATAATAATTGTTTAATATCGCAGGATTTGCTTGATAAATATCATATAATGTTTTATTATTAATTATTTTATTTTATTAGATTACTAGTGTTATTTTCATAACGATCTGTTGGTGGTCACCAAACGGAAAAGACCCAAAGTTTATTTCCCGAAAATAGTGGGATTATCGAATTAAACTTTTATGATTCATATATTGTTTTGTGATTCTAGGTTCTTTTCAAGTGTGAAAAAGCAACAAAAACTATTTCAGATAGAGATTATCAACAATATTATAGCATATACATGTTTTGAAGTAAAACTCTAAAGGAATCACACTTAAAAAAACATTTCTTTGTAAGTGCCTTTAGCAAAATATTTTAACTTTCTTTCCTTCTGGTTAAAAAAAAAACGTACTAATTACTCCATATATTATTGGGACGTACTAGAAATGTTAGCTAACTCATGCATGTGGTGGTATAGCTTTTATAAACCAAGATAACGTTTTGTTTTAATAGCCAAATAAATAAAATGACGCGTATCGAGCCTTGAAGTGATCTTAATACGAGGCTGGTGATAATGAGTTCACCTAACAACTAAATTTCTTTGTAGAAAATACACAAAAACGAAGAATAAACAAGTTAGTCGTACGGGTCAACGCTTCATTCAGAAGGAAAAAAAAAGTCGTATGTTACCATAATGTATTCTGTTGTTTTTGGCTATGAACATTTTGCAATATATTGCTAAATAACTTCTCTATATACGTATATATTCCATTTGCCCCAAATCGCGTTCATCTCTAAATATAAACAAAATAATCTAAATCTGCAAATTAATCCATCTCTTCATTGTCTCTGACATACCCCTTTTGTTACACTAAACCAAAGCTTAAAATCTCTAGTTGAAAAAAAAAATGTTTAAAAACGTTACATCAACATCCAAAAGATTTTAATGGAAAAGTTAAATAAAATGTGCTTCCCAAAAATTGAAAGTTTGTGTTTTGTTTTTCTTTATTAATCAAATTCGTCGCATGTGGAAACTAAGTAACTTTATATTTTACATGGCACCTTTAAAAATTATTTGGTTATAATTTTATATATTGTCGTATTGATGATAACTTTAATAATCATCAAATGTAAGAGAACTCTATATACGATGAGTATGAAAAAGTTATATATAACACATTTAAATCGCTGTTTTTGAGTTTGGCTTCTAAGGAGTAATAATACAACATCTTTGAGAAATATAGTAACTTGAAGAATTACCTTGTGCATAAATTTAACTCTCTGAAAACAGAGATCCAAGTGGATTCCAGTGTCAGTAAAGGTACGTGAATGTTCCACTACACATTTATCATCTCTTTTTTTTTAGGCTAAAAGATATCAAGCATGGCTACAACAAAATCCGATACTTAGCATAGCACTAGATTTGCAATGAATTAATCATGCACTGTATTCGAGTCTGCTTGGACCTCTGTTTTGTTACCAGAGTAAAGAGTCATTATATTAAACCTCGAGATCCTTCTTTCTTCCATGACAACGTTAAGAATAATGACATGACGACATATCTAAAAATCACGATGTTTGACAACTTGAAAAAAACAGTAATATGTATGAAACATCTCAAAACCATAGTATACTAGCCAACCCGTGGGCTTATGGCCCAAATTTACAGGGTCGTTAAAATGCAAATTTAATACTTGAACTACTATACTTACGTGCTCTGAGGTAAATCAATGCCAAATTTGGAGTCCGCTTTCGGAGAATCCCATAAAAATGTTTTCGTGAAAAACACCTGAGTTACCTAAGGGGTTGGATAAAAAGTTATACCTTTGTGTAAATTATGGGGCTGAAATGATTCGTTTGGCACCACTTAGATGTTGATGAGTCCAACAGTTTAGGAGAAGAAGTTTTCTGGAAATCCCCGGGTTCCCCAAAATATGGAATAAAAATTTTTACGTTTGTTCAAACTTCGGGACCAAGACGATTCGTTTAGAAGTCGGCTTAAGAGGAGTTACGTAAAACAGAAAACACCGAATCTTATTATATAGATGATTGGTTGAAAACAAGCGAGAACAATGGATTCTGAACTATCAAGCATGATGATTTGTAAAATCATAACATACAATACTTTTAAGACTCATCGTGGATTAGAACCTCAAGAAAATCATGATGTGCGACACATCCAAGAATCAAACCTTCAAGAATCGTCACATGTAACACTTGTTAAATTATCTGTAATGTAACTTCAAGAACCATTCTATTTGAAATATTTAAAAGCTATCTAGATAATACTTTCATTATACCTTAGGCCTCTCGAAGTCCAAAATCATCCACTGCATGAGGGTTTAATACCTTTTCTGATTTTGAATCAGAGGGTCATAACTAATTACTGACAAAAGACGATAAGAAATTCGTGTCTCTCAAATCAACTTATTAATACTGAATAAAAATAAATAACTAATACTGTTCCTCTTCATATAACCTTTACACATACTTATAATGTTAATATCGTGAAACAAAATTATTTAAGAACCTTTGTGTATGCTGTAAAGGCATGCTCTCATGCTATAACGAAGATACCATATTATTCTGAAACGTCGAAACAGTATTATAATTTTCAATGTATTTAACGTTTATATTTTATAAGAAAATAACTTAAGCAAAAATGATGTTATTCCTATCTAGCTGGAAATTTAGACGATCAAATACGTTTTGTAAAAAAAAAAAAATGCCATAACAAATACACTTTGAGAATGTGCTTCGAACTGGTTTATATACCACTACAGAAAGAAATGCTGCTAACAATATCATTGTTATCGGAGTGAATGTTAAATGAACCTAAATATCTTACTTGTTCAATAGTTTTTAATAATGTTTAGTAACTCCGAATGGTATGAACATATTATATTTTTTTCTGCTCCTTCTACTATACAGCATAGGCTGAGTAACTAGAAATACGACGACTATAGCGTCTAAACACTAGTAAATAAGTATAGTAATTATAAATTATCAGTTTATATACAATGTGTGAGTTGTTGATCATAAGCGAATATATCCAGTATACTACCTGTATAAAGATTAGTTACCAGAGAGAGAGACTGGACTAAACAAACGTCTGTCCATAAGTAATGATTAAATCATATAAATACATCAGTTATTAATATTTATTACGTACGTCTGGATAGTTGTTTGGTGAATTCCTATTTCAAATGTTTGATTTGTTGATAATGAAATGCGTATTTGACTACAATGTGTATACATTTGTATTAATCGAGTTTGTTTTAGGATAACAGTAGTGTTAAAACTTTTAAATAATTTTTCGTAAACCCATTATTTTACTTTACATCAATAACATAAAACTGGAATTAGAAAAACATGATAAATAGCACTTACTTACGTACAGAATAATAGAATTATGTTTTATTCTCAATTTTTTCTTACAGTAGATGCCAAACTATCTAATGGGTTCCAAATATTTATGTATGGAAATAAAAAAATTCGAAAACTCTAGCAGTAAATAAGCTTTTTTTCTTCTATGTAATACACATGATGTATAGCTAAACTTTATGGCCCATAGTATCCATTCATGATCAAAGAGCCTCGTACAAGTCATCTTGAGAAACCGGACGGTCACCTGGAAAAACAAACGGAGGTGATTCAAAAGAAACGTTCCAGAGTTGCACTGGTTTAAATATTCTTTAGTTACAGAAAGATAGATAATCACATACACTGAAGTTACTTGATCAAATCTTTTTCATTAATATTTGTTCATCAGAAATAGTTTGTCAGGCTTCGATTTTCTTACCGTTAATGCCAACGGTCTTTCCTTCAAAGATTTCTGCCAACGTTGGATTACTTTTAATTTGCTCAGCAAGCCAGCCAGTGGGAATAGTTCTGTAAAATTAATGGAAAAGTTGATGTCGATATTCATCTTGGAATTTTTATCATTGTACTGTAACAAGTGCAACCAATTTTTTTTCTTTTGTATTTGCTGCAAGCTGCGTACATTACATGCATTCAAAGTATTTTATTTTGTAATATATGTATATGTAAAATTAGAGTATCATAACTGTTTGTTCTGGCCTGCACTTGTGGTAGATGTAAACACGGATTGTTAGTTATAAGTATTTATCATTTATAGCATGTCTAACCAGCATTTGCTCAGAAGGGCGGAAAGCTTATTTTGGATTTGCGTAGTTTTGATAGTAAAAGGACAATATCAGTGCATATTCGCTTTGAGGATACGTTGTTAAAACGAAGCTATGAAGTGATATATATATATATATATGTTATAATTTTAGATGAAAATGTCATTTATGTTTTAATTGGGTAAGTTTTTTTTGGGGGGGGAGGCAACAAACATATTTACCAAATATAGCAGTTGTTAAGTGCATTTTTAATCAAAGGTTCACTTTGTAATGACCGCCAGAAGACTATTGCAGATAAAGGATCAGGAAATGACATAAACTGGCGGAACACTCTACTGAATGATCCAAAAAGCAAAACATATCTCAACATGCGTACAAGTGTTAAAATTGAGAAATGCACAGAATCTGAATTAAATTTATAGTCTCTAATATGGCAGAACTACATCATTAGATTATTGTTTTTGTCGAAGTTGACTTATAAGAAATATGACTCTACATATAATTTCATTATAACTTATCTTTGCTTAACTGAAACTGAGGTTTGTAATAAACATTACTGTTAAAGCAAATAAAATAACAATTCATACCTATCGCTAACCTCGTTGATGGTCCCTGACGAAGCTGTAATAGCGAATTATATAGCTAATAACAATACATTGTGAAGATATAGGTCGCTATTTGTTTACATTAATAGAAATGTTTATTATAACTTATTTACTCGCCAGACTTAAGATGCACGTTAAAAACATATTGCATAAACTAAAGCCGACAAAATTCACTTGTCGTTATTTATTCTATTTTTTATCCCTTACAACTTTATTATATGATACGTTTGTACCTTATGAAAAGAAATAGCACTGTACGAAGGAACGTTGTGGGTGTGAAGCCGAAACAAGAGCATGAAAAGTTAAAAGTGTGAAACATTTTATCAGTTTGTCTTGAACTTAAGAATTCTGTTGAGAGATAAAACTCCCATGTATAATGCTTTCATGGATATTTTCGCTGGCTTATAAAGCATGAATTGATGACCAGATGTAACAGATGTAAATTATATCATTCAAATACTCCTTATAGGCTACAATACATCAAATACAATTGACTAGTGAGAATAAATTTTAATATTGAAACCTAAACCTTTTCTTTATTAAAGTATGTTGCACTTTTATTATTGCTGAAATAGTTTAAGGTTGTGGCATGCTTATATGGAGAAGATATCCATACGTAGTGATTGGGGATTAAATGAATTACATTGCGCACGGTAACAGGTATACAGGGAAAGAGAGAGTTGAAGAGTACTTAAAATAATACATAATTTTGACTCAAAAAGTACTGCTAAAAGTGTTTAACTCTTTCAAATTCATAGACTCATATATATCCCCTTCTTCTCCACCGCAATGGGTAAATACCAGTATATAGGTTATGCCATATAAACTTTCTTTTAGCTTAGAAAAAATGTGATGTTGATTAAATGTTTTCAGAAATATGTAAGCAATAAAATCAATAATTTTATTACTAATTAAAAAATACAACTGTTAATATCAGTTTGCAAATTTTAGAAAAAAAAGCATTAATAATTATTTCACTTAATATATCTTACAATCTGGGAACATAGTCGTGTGAAATATTTCAGACAATTATATCTAAAAATGTCATGCTAATACGAAAAGTAATAAGCTAGATATAAGTAATTATACACACCACGTGTTTCTATTTATATCTAAAAATAAAATTGGCAATGAAACAGTTGTTTATCTTTAAAAGTGGTAATGAAAGATTTAATGGCCCAAATATGATGGCGAAACCACTCCGGACACTCTTAGCTTATTCCTTTATATGAGGTGGAGGTAGTTGGTTACATTTTTTCTCATTCCAAAGATTGATTTATCACCTCCGTAGCTTAGTTGTCGAGACCAGAAACACACAAGCTCCGATCTTGACTAGCAACAGAACTTATCATTTGAGACTTTGAAAAAAACACACACTTGTATGTGGATTAAAAACGATAAACAGTTAAAGTATTGTAACCTGGAATCAGCTTAAACTGAGCGGTTTCTTTGATGAAATAAAGTTGTGTCTTTGATAACTAGGTTTCTTTCGTGGTTTGCTATCTTAAAATGAAGTATTGTATTTCACTGTCCAGTTGGTGAAGTTTTAACTAGTTGACATGCTTCTTTTTTTCACTGATTTAAAGTGTTCATTTTGCCGAACCTTTGTAGCCGTGAACACACTCTATCTGTATATAAAATAAAATCTTGGAACGTTATGACTATAATGTTGTCTCTTATAGTAGATAATATCCTTTGTGTACATTAAGATTTAAACACATATAAAGTTATTTGTGAATAAACCCAACTTAAACTTCAAAAGACCGAGCGTGGCCCACAGTGGTTAACGTACTGGACTATAGATCTGCGGGTCCAACACTTGTGATCCACTACTGCAAAATAATAAATGAATCCTTGTTCTGCAGTTTGCGGTCGTGGGTGCGTTATAAGAATGACGGTCAAATCACATTATTCAACCAGATAAGAGTAACACAAAAATTGGTGGTGGGTGCTGTTGGCTAGCTGCCTTTCCTCTACCTTACTGTTCAAAATTAAGGGCGACTAGCTCACATAGCTCTTGAGCAGCTTGGCGCGAATATCCGAAAACAAACAAACAAATACCTTTTGTTAATTATTTTGAGATTCAAACTATAGATACCATACTTAGCTGCAAGACTAACTAGCTTGACATAGACATAAACTCTCTATCGTACAAAATTCCATCGTCAGTATGCTAAATACGTTCAGTTATTACATTAAAACTATTCGAAAACAAGTGGTATGCCCCCAAACTACATCGTTAAATTACCTTTTTAATAATATATATAACAAGAATTAATTTCTCACGAAATGAGAACTTGAGTGGAATAGAGTGTTAAATTTCTATTAATTGTAGTTTATGAAATAATTATCCTAAGGCCGAATGTGAGATCTCTGTATGTTATGTAATGATGAACTAGTTATAATGATAAAAATGTTAAAACTATATTAAGATATCACACTCGATCATAAAATATTTAATTTTTGACACAGTTTCGGGTAGCTTCCCATTATATTCAGTTCAAACATCTCATGAGATGTTACGTTCAAAATTCTGTAAGTTTTAAACCATTAGTTACTAATATGTTTATTTGATGACAGTGGCGACTATAGAGCAAAACTATAATTTTATTGAATCGGAAACTTTTTTATAGCAATCACATTTAACAAAACAGTCAAACACATGATGTATGGTAATTTCAATGATAAACGTGACACACAGGTAACTGATATCCGCAGCAACAAAGATTCGAGAGATTAGAATTTGCAAGGACATATGTGTGTGTGTGTGTGTAGTGATTTGATGTTGGCGAAATGTAAAAGACAAGACACGGTGTTGAAATTATAATACAAACAAAACGCTCTATTACAAAATAAAAATTGAAAGATGGGCTAATTGTTGAATCAGTAGATTAAGTATGTTATATTAAGTATGTTATATTAAGTATGTTCCACAATGGAAATATAGAAAAGAAAATATAATGTAGTATCTGGGAATAAATGAGAGAGAGGAATATTAGAGAAAAAATAGAAAAGAAGATAATATTGGAGATATTTATTAGAAAAACAAATGAGATAGGAGTATCAAAGAAAAGAATGGGAACAGAAGTATGGACGAGAAATGAGAAAGAAGTATCAAAGATAAATGGGAGAGAGACATTAGGGAAGAAATGGTAATGAAGTATCTGAGAAAAAATGAATAGCGTTTAACAAACCCAGTACCCAGTGGCGTAACTACAGAATATGGGCCCGTTACGTTTATTTTCCTATAATTATAGTTACGATTTGCACCCCCCCCCCTCCGCAATTATGGGAGCTGCAGTGGAGTAAGTATGCTACTGCCGATATCTCTAAATAACCTGAATAATAATAACACTTTTGAAAGTTTTTAATTCGAAAAACACCCCTTTCCAACCCTGCGGCATTAGGGGATAAGCTACTTGGTTGAAGTCTTTCTACGGCCTATAAGTCTCTCTTATAAGTCTATAAGTTTGATTATAAACAAGATTATTTAGGGGATAAGGTTTCAAATATTTCCTGGGGAGAGCATGCTTCTGTACCCCTCACCTAATCTAATGGGGTAAATGCTTTTGGCGCATCATGCCTACATAATAATGAATGTCTTTCTTGAGAGGAAATTAGTCTTTGGAAAAAGGGTTTGCCGTTTATACGAAAATCATACCCTTACAAAATTATAGTGATTTTGAACCCCAAAAGACCTTAAGGAATTTATAAAAAGAACTAATATGAAAAATTTGTTTATTAAATTTATAATAAAGGTAATTCTTATGTGAGAATGTTTTTCGTATATATATATATATATATATATACACCTTTATATAAATTTGTTTGTTTGTTTGTTTGAAGTTAAGCACAAAGCTATACAATCGGCTATTTGTGCCGCTGTTCCATTTTAGGTCAGTGGCCGTGGTACAATAATTGCCAAGTCCAACGGAGGTCTATCATGTTTGCTGATATGTCTTGGAAAAACAGCATGATGAAGTAAGTAGGTCTTTTATGTTAAAATATATGATATCATGATAATAGAACAATACTTTGCTGCGCTTTATAAGGTCTATTTTATTTAAAGATATGTCACAAAAATTTATAGGATTTATCATACTTAAGAACTTATGTGGATAAAGATTGTAAAAAGTACGACCGTAAAAAAAAAAAAGTTTTAAGTTAATTAGATACTGTACTTCGAATAAAAGAAATATTTTATTAAACACCAAAGAAATAATACTGATGAAATTTTGGAATTTCAATAAAAATATAAGCTATTCTTGTTTTAAAGACTACTTAAGGACATTATTAAACTCAATTGTTTTATCAACGTTAAAACTAATTGAAAAAATTGGTTGTTTTTTAATCGATTAAAATAATCTATATTTCGTAAATTAACGAAGTTAAGTGAAGTAATAATTAAGATATATGAAACCTGTTAAATATTCAATTTAAATCGATACTATAGTCTATGTTATGACTATATAGTAAAAGAGGCTCTGAGCGACATGGTGACAACACAATAGCAACCCTTCCCATCAACCACTAAACACATTGATCGTGAAAACGCCAGTTTAAGAAAATATTGACACTGAATCACTTGCTAGTCCCTAACGGGTTCTTTAAGTGAATGGAAAATGATTAGGGAAGGGATAAAGATGATTTTCACAAAGGACACTGAAGAAGGTGTAATTTTTTTCTAAGTAAAAGAACAAACACTGGTTTTCTTTTCATAAGTAAATACACCTACGAAGACTGAACCTTTCATCATTTAGATAAAGTAATTCTATGATTTTCTTGAGACTAAAGAAGCTAAGAAAACTGATTTGAGACACCTCAACAAACAACATTTGCGATGTAGAGTTTAAAGAGCATACGCGATCATCTAAGATACATGTTCATTTTCTTGGCATCTCAACTATTTGTTTTTCAAGAGGTTACGTGTTGATCATTTCCCAGGGGTACAAATGCTACCTCTAGACTAAAACTACCTTGATATAACTTTAAAAACCAAGCATTTCTCTAAGTGTAACAATACAGAAAAGAATAAAGCTCCTACTAAGTTTCACTGGAAGTAGCTTTTATTCTTAACTTGGTTGATGTGAGTGCGAGTTTCATTACAACCATATCAATTCTGCAAAATTCTGTACTCGGCTTACTATTCAAAGTTAGAACATTTACTGGTATTTTATAGCGTATAATAATGAAACGCCCCCCAGTGGCCCAGCGGTATGTTTGTGGACTTACAACGCTAGAATCCGGGTTTCGATACCCGTGGTGGGCAGAGCACAGATAGCCCTTTGTGTAGCTTTGTGCTTAACTACAAACAAACAATAATGAAACTAATGGAACGTGAACCATTTTAGGGTAGTAGGGTAGTAATAGAAATGTTCATAATAACATTTCATTTAGGTTTTGTTTTAAACTGTTGCTGATAAAGCTTTTCGTTGTCACAAGAGTTCATCAAATTATTATTCGAAATCTTATTTATATTTTAAATCAAATATAACAACTGAATCTCCCCTAGGCCAGCAGTAAGTTTTGGGACATACAGTGATAAAATCCGGGGTTCGATTCCCAACGATGGACAGAGCGCAGGTAATCCATTGTGTAGCACTGCGCTAAAAAACAAACAAAAATTTATCATTAGCGGTGGAGAGGAGTAATAGACTTTACAGAAAACACGAATAACATGAGTGAAGATCAAAGTTTTTCGAAAATATTTCCACTTATATTGGGATGTTTCATCATTCTTTCAACTCACATTGGAAAAAAAACCCAAATAAATGAAAAACTGAAAATTGTAATTTGTTTGTTTGTTTGAATTTCGTGCAAAGCTACACGAGCATGCAGTGTCTGTAAATATTATCGCTATCTTCGAAATCAGGATATTTCGTTTTCCCAAGCATTCCATTCAAGGATTACATTAATTAAAATTTATTTGATATAGCTAAAAACGTTATGAAACATTTCTATTTTTACAGATATGTTATATTATCCAT